GTCGAGACGACTCGATCGCTGCGCTGGAGAAGCAGCTTGTCCTGGAGCGCGACACGTTCAAGGCTTCCATCGCCGCGAACACTGAGCAGACTCGTCAGCTTCACGCCATCTTAGTGAGCGCCTGCAAGGGCACGTACGTTGACACCGACACCACCAAGTCGATTGAAGATCTTCAGCGGCGCTACACCCATCTCCTCAAGGTGAATCGGGCGCTTCGTTCACACGTGAGCCTCACCGGCATGGATCCTGATATACTGGTCCTGGCTGTGCAAGGTAAGCAGCTGCTTGTGATGTCTCCACCGATGGTTTGTTTACTAACGTTCGTTCGTGGTCGCATGTGACAGGTCTCAGAGCCGGAGAGCTGGATCTTGACAGTCTCGATCTCGGTCAGGAGACTCTGGTTGCTCTACAACACATTCAGGCTGAGACCGAGTCTTCATCGGATCCCCAAGCGCTGCTAGCGGCTCTCGCAAAAGCTGCTCACCAAGTCGCTCACGGCAAGCCCCGCAAGCGTCTTCGTGCAGGTAACAAGGACTCTGGAGATGAGCGTGGGTACGGCTCCGACTCGCCGCTGGAGGACAAGTCGCCTGCTCCGACCGATAAGGCCAGTTCAGCTATGTCAGCTGCTGGTCTGGGTGATGAGGTTTCCTCCGACTCTTCGATCCAGAGGTCTGTCCGCCGAGGGCTTCACAAGCCAAAGTCCTGGAAGAAGCAGAAGAAGCGTCGGAGGACACATTCTGAAACTTCCTCGCCGGCCGCTTCGCGTACAAGTCGAAGTCCAATCCTACCGACGCCTCGTGCACATCTACGCACTCCTCCGTCGGCGTCTGCCAAGTCTCCAAGGGGTCGTCAGCGGAGTCGTTCTCTGTCTGTGCCCGCACGTCCGCCCTCTGGCTCGAAGATGCAGCGGTAGGCTCTCGCGTCACCTACTGCGTCTATCAAGCTCGCTGTCCACCGCCAGCCTCTCGTCCTCGACCTGAGTGGAGTTGCCAGTAATGTGGAGATGAGCGACGATCAAGCCGGAGGTCAAGCGAGTGTTCCTGCTGTGACTACAAGCTCCGCTGATGATCGCGCCGTTTCTCCGCCTCCTGACGATGCGTCCAAGGCTTCACCAGTCGTCACCGAGTCTCCTGCGCGTGATGAAGAGTCGCCAGGTCGCGCTTCGCCTTCCCCTCCTGCTCCTGCGACTGTCGAGACTGAAGCCGAGGACCCGGATGCCCTCGAAGCCGCTGAGCTTCGCCTGATGTTCGGCTCGGATGACGAAGATGAAGCACCCGGTCAGCCAGCTTCAAGTGCGCCTGCTAAGTCGACGCCATCGCCCCCGGCTCAAGACGAAACTTCTGGACCATGCCTTCTCAAGCTGCTGAAGATGTTCTGACAGCTGCCGAAGATTCAAGTGAGACTCGTTCGGAGATGCTGCTGTCCACATTTGTGTCAAGTTCTCGTGTCGTTTCGATGGGTGATGGTGGAAATGGAGAGTCTCGTGGAGATA